TGTGTAAATATTTATCTGTGTGTGTGTGTTTGTGTGTAACATTCTGTGTATGTGTATATGTGTAACAGTGTGTATGTATATATGTGTAACTGTGAATGCCTAACAGTGTTTGTATATGTGTAACTATGTATACATATGTGTTCCAGTGTGCGTGTGTGTGTGTGTAATTATGTGTGTAGTGGTAGATGGATGAGACAGCGCTGGTCAACTAATAGGCAGCAACCCTTAAAGGGGAATCTCTCAAAACCCTTTAAAACAAGACAAGTAAAAACAACAATAGAAAAGGCTGCGCCACATAAAATAATAAAAACAGAATAAAAGAAAACAAAGTCCAAATAAAAAGAAGTCCAACTTGTATGTCCTTACGAATACTCTTTTAAGGAGGCTGGTACAGTGGTAGGGTCTTCAGATATAGTAGTGGTTCCACTTATATAGAAGATAAAAGATAGGGACAACCAATAGTGCAATATGTATAGCTCAAATATGGACGTAATAGAAAATAATGGTAGAGAACTCACATTTGCAAGAGCGTATATCCAGCTCTAGGGTAAGGCGCGTACACCGGTATAATCCCCGCTTATGGGATATGTAGTGGGTACCTCTCCGTCACTAGTGTCCAGTTCTCAGGAAAAAGGACACAGCCAATAGTGCTCACTAGGATTTCTTGGGGTGCAGGAAACCTGTTGTGGAGTCACTGGCTGCAAATATCAGGAATTACAAAGCCTTCAACAGCTCCCTTGTCTTCACTGTAGTAGAAACAAAACCAACATCGTCCGTCTGTAAATGTTCAATAGGCAAGGCTGAGTTCTGGAGACACTGGCTGCAAATATCTGGAATTACAAAGCCTTCAACAGGTTCCTTGTCTTCACAGTAGTAGAAACAAAACCTCAGGATCGCTGAATGTGAACTGCAAACTAACATGGTCTGTGGTACATGTAATATAGTGCCGTATTGCAAATCCGTTTACCACTATGTGGGTGTGCAAATGTAGAACCACTTATCATGTGGCTGCTTGTGACCCAGCCCGTACATTTAAAGCATATATGTGTGTGTAACAGTGTGTCAAATGGCAACAGTACATACAAACATACAACTGCATTTAAATGCCAACATTACACACAAATACACCTTTTTATTGTTATAAGAAAGTAATAAATTACATTTATGAAATTATGTAAAATTGTTCTTTGTGCCTGCTATTTTACTATGTATTTGACACTCCATAACTCTTTCAGTCAGCAAGATAGTCACTAGAGGTGTGTTTAGTCCTTCAATCATACATTGCTGTGTCTACAGAACTAAAACAAAACGGGCACTGCACCCACACCTCTTGAGATGAAATAGTCTGCCTTTAGTGTCCCTTTAATCATTCAAGAAAAAGTGATTTGACAAAATATTCAGGAGCATCTAAGCCTACCTACACTTGGATACCAACAGAGTTTAATAAAATACAATGTGTTTTTTGTTTCACTGTAGTCATGGCTGAGGCGATGGAAAATCGTTTTATTGTCTCCATGTTATCTGTTTGAAACTAGTGCATAAATATTTATAACTAGGAAAGGAATAGAAGTGAAACATTTATTTCCACTGAAGTGCTTTCCTGTCATTTTGTCTTCATTACTTTGGAGATTCTACTAACAAACTAAAGGGAAAAATAGATTTAAGAGCGCTTAGCACGAGCAAGGGATATGTGGTGCATGTCAAACCTAAACTCCCAACACGATGACATAAGCTTGACCCCAATTAATACAAATTTTCTTTTATTTACATTTAAACTCAATTCATCAGTATTTGTGCACAAGTCATTCAAATGGAAAAATCCAAACAAACTTATGAAGCACTTTATTAGTTACTTATGTTGTAATCTTGGCCGGGTTTAGCACGTTGGTCCAACTGTATTAATGGATGGCCGGTGGAACAGTACAAATAACAAGAAACATGGGTTCTATTAAAGCAATGATCTCATGTAACGAGGAGCGCTGAGGGAAGCTAGGGGTATAACAATTTTCCTGAAGACTTAAAGGCACAATCCATACACTGCCCCGTCTCCCTGTATAGAGTCCGCACCATAATCAACAGACTGTTCATCCTGATCTGGCCATCAAAAACTTTGATTGGTGTGCACATTTTATAAAAACTCTGACCTCCACTATGGTTTCCATAACAGTTGACATGCAATTATGTCTCGTAGTTCCATTTACAAAACGGGCAGAGATTTTATTTGTCCTTTGTGATAAATGTCCCAGCTGGGCAGGGGTACGTATGAGAGGCTCGGCTCCACTGAAAGCTGACTTGCCTGGTGTAAGGTCCGGCAGAAGATGTGTATAGTCTATATAAGGAACTCAAAACTGAGGAAACATACTGTCTATAATTGTCGCCCTAAAGCATTTTGCTTGCTGTTTTGTTTTTACTCCTAATACAACTTTCTATCAAAATCGATCAAACACGTATCTATTTTTTTTCTTTTAAAATGTAGACTTGTGCTCGGTAAGATAATCCAGCACAGCTGAACTATGTTTCCCGAAAAAAGAATGTTTTGGAACGCTTGAATTTTGGCTGAGTCAGACGAACCGAAAGGGTAAGAAAATACTGCTCCTCCTCTTATTCCCATAATTTTTTTTCTGAAGGCTCCATAATTCTCTAAATTGCATATTATGGAGCATTAACAAAGGAATTACAAATTCTAGCCCAAAATAGGAAATTGGAAAATGCTCTAAGTAGCTTTCTTTCCAGCTCAAGAATTTTGATCTAAAATATGCTATGTACTTGTTGTTTAAAAGGACACTATTGGCACCCAGACCACTTCAGCTCATTAAGTCTGGACGTTCCATGTCCCTTAACCCTACAGTGGTAATTATTGCAGTTTCTGAGAAACTGCAATAATTACCCTTTAGAATTAACTCCAGCTCTAGTCTCTAGTGGCTGTCTACCAGACAGCCACTAGAGGGACTTCCGGGTGGTTAGGCGACCAAAAGTTGCCTAAATGATGCAGGACATCCTTATGCTGTGCATGAGGATATCCAGCCAGGGCTGTCTTTCTGCATGGGCTTGCTGGGCCCTTGCCCGGGGGCCCCATCGAGCTGCCCTGCTGGCCCAAGGAGAACCAGCCCTGCTTACGTGCTTTGGGCCATCTTTTTAAATAAAAGAAACAAAAAACCCTTATCCCTATGCGCCCTCCCCCTCGCACACAGCACCCTTCAAACACAGCACGTCTCTCACAGACACACATCACCCTTCATACGCAGCACCTCTCACACACACACAGAACCTCTCACACACACACAGCACTTGTGAGGAATCTTCCTGACCAGTATAGTTTTGCATTGTATTAGCCAGTCAGACTTTAAGCTAGTAACTCACTTGTGCTGGGAAGCATTCATCCAGCACTGGTAGTTTCTTTATCCAGTAGGTGTGGATCTTCTTCATGTGAACTACATGTTGTCGGATATCTGCTCCTGTGATGGTGATGAGCTACTGTTCTGGAAGCATACAGAGGTCTATTTTCAGATCTAGTGGCCACTGGACCTTGGTGTGTTGTCATGATTCTTCCTCCCAGGTGCTCTTCCAGTAATGTTCAGTCTCTGCTGTAGGTTGGAGCTAGTGGTGGGTGGAGAGGGCAGCTGACACTCTCAGCCTATCAGCAGTGCCCTGTCCAAGGCTTTCTGACTGAAGCCTTGGACCATCGCTGTAAAGAGCTAGACAGAGCAGATGGGTCCTCTGTTTGCAACTTTATGGTTAAACCGTTTGTAAATGGTTAAACCCTTTACGGTAACACACTGCCTGGGATCTCCTGGCACCATAAGAACTTAATTGAGGTGAGGTTATGATGCCAGATTGTTGAAATAATAGAATCTCAGGGTAGAAGAAGGTTCTCCAGCTCAAATAATCATTTAGAACTTACTTGGAGTACACTCACAACTCAGAAGGAAGCATCTTGCTATTATCTATTCAAAAGGTCATAACACTTCATGTTTGCAAGATTAACTTTTACAGTTTCAGTGGAAATAATAATTGCTTGCAATCCTTTTACTTTTGTAATGGAAGTAGAAAAAAAATCTAGTAGTTGAACAAGTCTGTAAATCATTACATTGATATCGTATGTAAAGTTAACAATTTTGCAATTTAGTTAAGTGGTCTATATGAATCACATTGAAAATAAAAATAAAATACAAGCATTATATGAGCAGACGCAGCTCTATGTCCAAATAATTATTCATTCATGTTTATAATAATTACAAAAGAAGTTTGTCATTGTAATAATGTATTGTTTTCTTTTCTCTGTTTTCAGTGACTGACTAGCACAGTAACAATCTCTTGTTCTGAAAAGTCATTTAGTAGCAATGGAAAATTTGGGAAGGGGACCGGCTGTCTAGTCATAGACTGAAGGACCAGCTAGAGCATATAAGCATGGAACGTTAACCAACAACTCAAATAATCTCTCCATAGGCAAACTGGATTTTACCACATGACAGGAGGCTTCATATTTGCATATCTTTCTTTACTGAAAACTCCAGCAGCATAGAAACATAACAACCAATCAGAGAAAAGTTATGATGCCCATAAAAGGCCCTGTCTATGACATCACTTCCTCTTTCTTTGCTGCTCCAGCCTACAAAGGTCAGAGTATTTTACCTCTCTGGTATATTTACTCTGTCTTTCATTGAGATAACTACCTTATAACTATCTCTAACCAGGGGCGTACCTAGGGCATGTGGCACCCGGGGCAGGTCCTGGGTTACCCCACTTCACTTAAAAAACCTACTACATTTTTTTTTTTAAATGTTATATTTTTTACATTTTTAAAAACATTTATTGAACAAATTTGTTAACTTTTTAAAACCCCTGCCCCCTCTACAAAATCCCTGCACACCCTCACACACAGTTACAGACAGACAGTCACACACAGTTACAAGCAGACAGTCACACGCACACAGTCACATGCAGACAGTCACACACACAGTTACAGGTAGAGAGTTACACACACACACACAGTCAGTTACAAGCAGTTACACACAGTCACTCACACTGTTACAGGCAGACAGTCACATATACAGTCACACACACGGTCACAGGTAGACAGTCAAGCACATAGTTACAGCCACAAACACACACAGTCACAGGCAGTTACACACACAGTCAGTTACAGGCATGCAGTCACACACACACAGTTACAGGTAGACAGTTACGCACACACAGTTACAGGTAGACAATTACGCACATACACACAGTCACAGGCAGACTGTCACAGAAAGTCACACACACACACAGTTACAGGCATGCAGTCACACACACACACACACAGTTACAGGTAGACAGTTACGCACACACAGTTACAGGTAGACAGTTACGCACACACAGTTGCAGGTAGACAATTACGCACATACACACAGTCACAGGCAGACTGTCACAGACAGTCACACACACACACAGTTACAGGCATGCAGTCACACACACACACACACAGTTACAGGTAGACAGTTACGCACACACAGTTACAGGTAGACAATTACGCACATACACACAGTTACAGGCAGACCGTTACACACACAGTTACAGGTAGACAATCACGCACATACACACAGTTACAGTTTCAGACAGTCATACACACACACACACAGTCTCAGGCAGTTACACACACACTCTCTTATACTTACTTACAGTGTGTGCTGGAGGAGTGGATTCATTGAAGTCCTGGTAGGTGGAGGTGCAGGGATTTCTACTTGATGCACCTCCATGTGCAGCATTAACAGCAGCCCCTGCTTGTGGTTAGGCTCCGCCCCTAAATATCAGTAGCTCCGCCCCTTCCTCCCGTGCGGCCAGTTTATCTTGCTGGTCTCCGTGTGAGCTGTGTGACACCCCAGCTGCCATGGGGCACAGCTCACACAGCTCCCTCCAGCCCCAAGACCAGGGTAAAGGCACCCCCCTACCAGGTGGCACCCGGGGCTGACCGCCCCCTCCACCCCCCCCTTAGTCCGCCACTGTCTCTAACTGCTACCTGGCCCCCCTTATACCTGTCCCTTATACCTTATTCCACAACCTTTTCCCCCCTTTTGGTTTTGCACATCTACCGCCTGGCGGTCCGCGGGCGTCAGGTCTGCCTGTGTCACGCTCGCCCCACGGACCTGCCCTTTGTTTATTCGGGGAATTGTATGGGGACAGGTGGAGGGAGGTGGGGCCAGCTCTTGGTTGTATTTTTTTTTTTTGCTGCGCGACGGACCCATTGCGCACCTCCACACGCGGGCGGCGGCCATCTTGGATCTAAACGCGACATACCAGTCAGCCGCCTTCCCTGCTAGCTCGGCGGATCGGGAATCACCTGATCGTCAGGCTCCATATATACTTCCCCCCCCAAGGGGGGAACTCTTACAATCCCTGGCTATATATATATATAGGACTTGGCACAGAGTCAGGCACATACCTTTGGAAATATATGTTACAAGCATGCAAGCATAAGGAAACTGAATGACTCCCTGTACCCAATTATAATACAGGTCATTCTATATTCTGTACCCTATACAAGGGCATACCATACTACTGTACCCTTCACAGGGTCACACTAATTCACTGCACCCTCCACAGGGGCATACTATATCACTATACCCTACACAGGGTCAGATTATATTACTGTACCCCACAAAGGGGGATACTATATTACTATGCCCTACACAGGGTAACGCTATATTACTGTACCTGACCGTACAAATTTATGTGGATGTCTTCTGGGTATTTTTTCATGGCACACCACCTGGGGTGACCCCCCAGATATGCATGCAGGTCACTCATAGATCATTACCTTTGATGTGGGTGTCCTCTGGTTTACCACGGCACACCACCCGGGGTGAACCCCGTTCACATGCACGGAGGCCTACGCCTCAACACTACCAATTTTACTGTGCATACAGCTCTGGGGTACAACTGTAGTGAACCCTGAAACCACACCACTACCACATACCAGACTGCTCAGTACCATTGCCCTCCAGGTAGACGCCAAATTTATATACACCGTCTACTCACGATTTACTAACGGACGACCCCCAGTTGTACCAGGAGTCTGGCACCATATGTACTGACCCATCACCACTATCTCCACTGACTCTTCTTATCGCCCTACAGGACGAAATAAATACTAGGAGTCATGGAAGACACTCAAACCAGCCAAGATTTTCAGGCCATGATTAATGCCGCGGTAGCGGCCTCCGTAGAAAAGGCCCTATTGAGGGCACTACCCCAAAGCCAGGGCAACACAAGCACCCCGGAACTGATGGAGGCCTCGGGCTATGAAATCTCCAAAACAAAAAGACAACGGAAAGGGTCGTGCCCCCCTTCCTCAAAAGCCAAAGGCAAGATATCCGTTAAACGGATTAAGGGCACAGAACGGTGACAACCTGCGCCCCGAGCGCTACAATCCTCCGATGAGGATGACTCCTATGTACCACACACATTGGACGTGGTAGACGAATGGCATAGGGACGACTCGCCTTCAGAGGAGGAAGAGTGGCAAGACCTACCCCCCACCTCCTCGAGATATGTCAAGGAGACCTTTCTCGGCAACGACGACCGAGACGGAGAAAGCACTAGCGGCACCAAGGCCGGAAAGACCGGAGATGGAACTTTACGGACGACCAAGGGAATCCGCTCTTCGATCCACGTACCATCTGGCATCCACGGTCCTCCGAATGGACCCTTCCAGACCACCTGACACATTTCATACACTACTGGCTGCGCAAGCCTCTAGAAAAAGAGGTGCAGGCACGCCTCAGGGCCGAATGCCCCAGACCACTAATTCCTGATAAAGTGGCCCTCACGCCTGAATTTGACAACACGGTAGTGGTCTTCATGTCACGCTCAGGACGAGATCCTCGAAAGGGCGTGGAAAAAGTGCTGGATTTACTTGGCCCCATCGCTAAGATACTCTATTTTGCAGATCTAGCACTCAGCCAGGGCTCCCTACTCGACCCGAACATCATACGTGAATGGGCCCAACGAGCAGTATGCCTTCCGGGCAACCCCAACTCCGCATTATGCACCGAAAGACGCAAGTCGGCGTTGATCCGCATAGATAGTAAACTCCTGTGCTAAGGAATTCGGACCAAAAGCACAAGGACTGTTGTTTGGCGATGCTTTTATCACAGAGCTTAAAAAGCACGTTAACCTTTTCACCACCTTAAACAAGGCCCAGTCCTCACTCAAGCAAGTTTTTCACTCCCCACCAGCCAGAGGTGTTTTTGGGAGGGCTGGTCGGCAGCGGAACCGAGCCACCAGCCACTTTTGGGCATCAGGTTCCAGATCATTCCCACAAGCCCCAAGCTTCTTCCCATCTACGACACAAAGACCCTCATCGTACCGAGGGGCGGGACAGACTAGAGGCTTCAAAGGTCGAGGACGCAGCCATTTCTCTAATGGTGAGTCCTCCTACATACCAAAATGTTTCAAATTTTGTGGCAGGCAGTCTGTCCTTTTTCTTGCAGAACTGGGAACTGATTACCAAAGATGCCTGGGTCCTCCAGACGGTACGCGGCTTCATCATAGAGTTCTCCACTCAACCCATACAGACCCCCCCCCCCCGCCTCCGATTCACATGTCAACGGAACAAAAGCGCCTAGTGGACGAGGAGATCCACACACTCTTCATAAAAGGCACAGTACAGTACGCACCAGAAGGGGGAGGATTCTTAAGCAACATCTTCCTGGTCAAGAAGAAAACAGGCGACTACAGACGAGTTATCAATCTCCGACAATTGAATTCATACGTAATATACAGACACTTTAAGATGGAAGGGATCCATCTCCTGCAAGACCTTCTCATCAAGATTGACTGGTTTACGTGTCTGGACCTCAAAGACGCGTACTTGTCGTATGTACACAGCCGTCGTTTTCTCTGCTTCCGATGAAGAGGACAAATATAACGCAGCTTGGCCAAGGACAAGTCGAACTGCTGCATCCTGCTCTGCATGGACAACGTGTCGGCTGTGCAGTACATCAACCGCCTAGGCGGAGCCAAGTCTCAAACCCTGACAGAAGCCACGAAAGACATTTACACAGTCTGCCTAACACGGAACATCACGCTACAGGCGGAATATCTACCGGGAATCTCCAACCTGACGGCGGACTGGTTCTCACGCCACTGCGATTGGAAACTCAACACAGAGATATTCCAAGAATTGCGACGGTGGAAAGACCCATTGACAATAGATCTATTCGCCTCCAGGACCAACCATCAACTTCCGAGGTATTACAGTTAGCTTCCGGATCCGAAAGGCGAAGCAGCGGATGCATTTCTACAGAACTGGCCCGCTCAACAGGCATACGCTTTCCCACTGTTCTCCATGATTCCATGGGTACTTCGATACACACGTACCCACAGGCTATCGCTCCTGCTCATAACACCCCTCTGGCAGAGCCAACCATGGTTCCCAGATCTCCTGGAGATGTGTCACGAAAACCCCCTTCTGCTTCCTACCTTCCAGCTACTCCTGACGGGACCTCGAGGGGAAGCACACCCCCTCGTCCTAGAAGGTCAACTAGTGGCCTGGACGATTTCAGGGGTTCCTGGTCAGTCCACGGCCTATCGCAATCATCTAAAGACCTCCTATGGGACTCTTGGGCTCCCGGCACCAGGAAATGCTACATTTCCGCCTGGTCGGCCTGGAGTGATTGGTGTGTTGAAAGGGATTCCGATCCCTTTACTGCCCCTGTGCCACTGATCCTTAACTATCTATCACATCTGTTCTCGTTGGGAAGATCATATAGATCCCTCAATGTGATCAGATCCGCCACATCGGCAGCACACGTCCCGATACAAGGCAGACCAGTAGGTCAAGACCCACTGGTTTGTCTACTACTTCGGGGTGCCAAATTAACGAGACCCCCAGCACCCAAGTATTCACAACTCTGGCAGGTGGACGTGGTACTGGAATTCCTTAGGGAATGGCCGGACAACCCCTACCTGTCACTGAAACAACTTTCAGCCAAACTGGCCCTCTTGTTATGCCTCGTTTCGACGGGTGGCAGATGTTAGAGCGTTCGATGTGGACGGTTTCTCTCTCACACCGGAAGGAGTTACCTTTTCCATATCGAGACGAACGAAGTCAGATTCAGCTTCAGTGTCATACCCATACTTTGGGTCAGACCCTAAACTATGCGTGGTCAGAACATTAATGAGGTATACTGAAATCACTAACCCCCTTCGATCTTATTCGACGGGCCAACTAC